TCCAAATGTGAGTCCTCAGTTCCCTTTAAACAACTCCCATCACATGTAGCATCAAAACGCTCTCGAACGCACAGCCGGCATTATATTGGATCTGCTGAAAACAGAAGCCTCCAGACTACTGGTTTAAACTCCAGTTTGGTACTATAGACCTAGAGTTAATTTGACTTATTTTTTTCACTTAAATTTAATTATTAGTTAGCATCACTATTTTGAACAACAACAAAAAATACTTGCTTTACAAAAGCATACCCAGAGCTTTTCTTGAAACCAGTTAGCCTTAACTGAGGCATTGGGACATCCAGGAAGGTGGTAGTGTATCTTACCATCATTTTGAGGCACAAATAATTTGTAACCAATAACTGTTAACAAGTACAGAAATCAGTAAGTGACTCACTTGACAAAAACAAACACATTAACCATTTTAACATCATTTCTGCAATAGCATAACCCTTACTCAAATTCTAATATGATCTCTTAAATGGAGGGGGGGGGCTAGCTCATTGTGAAATGAAATGTCCATAATATGTGCCTATTACTGGTATTCCCTTAAGAGTTGGAATGATTTTGGCTCATTCCTGAGCAGAGAAGGAAGGAAGGGGGTTGCCAACATCTGGGAAGGCTTCTGATTATGCACCATTTGTGCACGCGGTCTACCGTGTAGATGACGACAGAAAACAACCGAGGGAAAAGTGAGCCTCACTGGCTCTTCCAATACATGCTTCCATTTAGGGAAAACTATGTATTTTCACATTATTTTTTAAGATTCCAACAACCGCACAAAGCAAAGTGAACCTATGTGGTACTTAATGAAATTGTTTACAGTTTTGAGAATATATGGCTCTGAACAGATTCCAAAGAATTGCCAGTTCTACATGAACAGAGGTGCATTCGATAAACTGCTCTACTTTAGCCAGAAAGCTATACAGAGCATGCAGAGCTATTCTCTAAGTAGGAAATATAAATACATGTTGCATTCACACACATTACAAAGGCTGTGCTTGGTTTATAACAGCTTGTTTTGAGGTCCCAAAATTGAAAGTCATCAACCATCATGGGTCAAAGGTGAATGTTTAAGAAGCATTTAGCAAATCCAACACAAAGTTTGGAATCCTTGAGGAAGTGTGAAATGGATGAAAGATTCGTGCCATCTCTAACTTTTGGCCTAGCATTCTTTGCATTCACTTTTTTAAAAGTCCACTCTGCTAACAGGCCAGAGTTGAAAGAAACCCTCCTACTTATGGTACTTCTGTGGTGAACATGAAAAATTCTGATAAAGTTCACAGCCTTGAAGAAAATACCAAGTGGCTTATTGTCTTAATTTTCTCTTATTTTCTCACTCATTATCAGAGAGAACTGAAGGACAGATTCTGCCTGTTGCTCTGCAGGCTAGATTCAGTGCTCACTGGAGACCGGAGCTGGTGGCTTGAATATTTTTGCCACTCATTTATCTGTGTAGCCAGCCCGCTATTTAATGAACTCAGCATCTGCAAAGCACATTCCATGGAAGAAGTCTACATCAGCTGATGGGATGTGTGGGTGTGCACGCATGCATTAGACAAAGAGGAAAGTTACTCTTTGCATGTAGTAAGCCAAATTATCCCAGTTCCTTTGTAGAAAGGTTTTTCCCCCCTTCTTTCTTTTTACAGCTTAAATAATATTTAGCTGAGATTTCAGGTTCTTGGTTTTCAGTAGGACCCAACAGGTGTGGGAAAGGGCCACGTGCCCATGGCCCAGGCATCACTTATGAGATCTCTGCCCCTCCTAATGAACATCTGTCTTACAGCAGAAGGTGGCTCGTCACAGGCCCTGACTTCAGAGTAGGGCCTCATAAAGCCAGCAATGTTAAGACCAAAATAATGTCATTTGGTGTCTGGGGGGGATGAGGGGTTAAAAAAAGGATTAGAGGCAGGCAGGGTATATTAAATGAGTCCATGACTAACAGGGTGTGACAGAAAAGGGTTTTATTCTTTTCAGCAAAACAATTCCCTAGGGCTGGGACCATTACTCCACTGTGCCTTTATCACCTTGGAATTTTTATGGTTATTTTTGATGAATTCACATTTTTGTAAAGGCCTTTTTGAAACGATGCCAGTTTTCAAATTTTAATTAAAGTCGTAAATAATCTTAATTCTGCCTTAAAAGGTTTATTGTTTCTTACTTTTTTTTATTATTGCTGCCAGGAAATATTTCAGATACCAAGCCCTGATGTGAGTTAGCAATTAGACTCTCTCCAAGGTCCAGTAACAACATTGTACCAGGGTAAATATCTCACGCCAGTACACCAGCACAGGGCTTGAGAACGCAGCCTGACTTGATTTCAGGCTTATTAGTGGCTGCTTCTCCTGGGAGTGACATTTCCTCTTTTTATTGGATGGAACAACTGTCATCATTTTAATTTCCATAAACTAATCCATCACGGATCGATAAAGGGTTTTAAAATCTTCAGATTAAAAAGACAGGTTAAGATTCAGAAAGCACACTCAGTAAACTTGTCACTGAGGACCAGGCAATGAAAGTTGCCCAAATCCAGTTCAACCATTTGCAGAAAACAGAGTGAGCATCAGAAGCTCGATCACTGGACAGATGAAATCTTATTTTACATAAGATAAAATTAAGAGAATACTGAAATACTTGGCATTAGATTATAATACTCTTCCTTGATATCTAAACTACCTCTTTATTGAAGGTTATCTGCAAATCGTCTGTAAATTTATATTTTTTAAAATCTCAAAGTCTGATTTATTTTTTAAATTAGGGCTTTGAGAACCTTTCACCCAATCACACTGCTCTCCCGTTACACAGATGTGGAAATACACTATGTTTGAACAACAGAAACCATTGACAAGTCTGGAAAATACACACTGCGTTTCCACACCTACTGTCAGTGCCACGCTGCAGCTTGTTTGAACAGTCCACCAGGACTGTTTCTATCCAGCAAGGTGCTGTCCAATCTTATGATAGATTTGCCAAAAACCTAAATATGACCTGAAGAATAGTTGTATTTAGGGGGGAAACTCTCAGCAAGATAGTTTTTCTTTTTCATTTTAACCAACACAATTTATCACTTCAAGTTTATGAGATACACCAGATAATGGCAAAAGGTGTTAGACAGTCAGCCCGTTGAATGTTAACAGTATGCAACAATGATGCATTATTTTAAGAACACCACATTAAACATCTCCTTACAATTGCATTTATATTATAATTCACTTAGCAGCTCCTTTGCTCTTTTAAAATAAAAGAAGATATCCAATCCATGTCAAATGATCATACATTATTGTTGAATACAGTATCTATTAATAATGATTATCTGTTAAAGAGACTTACCTATATTTTATAGAGGAAAAAATAAATGATTTTAACAACTGACTTACAAGACTGGGTTTGTGTACAATTAAGAATACCTATCACATCCTTCTATCTAGGCATTTTTCTAACTCACAGGGAAGAGGTCAAATTATTTCCATATATAAGCCCTTAACCAGTTTTGTGCTAATACCTCTTAAGGAAGAAAAAGCTCATATAACAAAAGGACTATAGAGCATTTCCCAACATAAAAGTGTTAAATACCTATAAACCATGAAAGAATGTAAGATTCTAGTTAGCTAGAAGTCACAGTGACTTGAAAACCATGGCCATGGGGTTCAATCATTTGAAATAAGTTGTCTTAAACTTCCCTTAAATTTGTAATGAATGGCCCTTAACACAGGTACCCATCTGAACACAAATGAAATAAACAGTCAAACAGCCAAGGTCAAGTCAACATATTTACTGCTACGGTCAGAAGATACGTGTTGGGTGCCGGGGGGGGGGGCGGGGGGGGGGGAGGCAGAAAACTGTACTTGAACAACAATAAAAAAAGTTAAAAAAAATAAAGCCTTAATTTTCAAGGCATTAAAAAAAAGAAGATATGTGTTGGTCCAAAAGTTTACAAACTCAATTAGTAGGAAGTGCCTTGTATGGTGGTGAGCTCCTCTTCTCTGGGGAGCTGGAGCACAGCATGGCCAACCACTGGCCAGGATCTTATGAGGTCAGGAGATCAAGTCAGGTGGGTTGGCTGCTCATCATTAACATTTCTTTTAAGTCTTAGATACTATTTCTATAAACTTTGAAAGATGCATTAATCTTTCAAAGATTAACATCATTAATGGATGTTAAAGCAATTTTTGCTTTAATTCATTTCTCAGATTTTCATACACAGTACCTATTAAGAAATATTTTTTCTAAGCTTAAAGGGAGGAATGCTTCTGTTCTTACTCATCCTAGAGATTCTCCTACCTTTTTCATCAGGGCTAAAATTTTAGCCAATTGATATTTTATCAAAAAGTATTGATCTCCAGGAAGGATTTCTGTCGTGCTATTTTTCCCAAATGAATTTTCTTGTTATCTGAACTTAATTTCCATAAAATCCTTTTGTTACTTTCCTGCTTAGCTGACTTACGCTTAATTTTCTCTGACTCCTATTATACAAGCCCTCCCCAGAAATTCGTATTTGACCATATCAACCACGCAGACCATAACTTTGCTATTACAGGAACACCTCAGAGACATCTCAGGTTTAGTTCCAGAGCACTGCACTAAGGCAAATATTGCATAAAGTGAGTCACAGAAATTTTTTTAGTTTCTTAAATGCATATAAGAGTTATGTTTCTATTATACTATAGTTTATTAAATGTGCAGTGGCATTATGTCTGAAAAAACAATGTACATACCTCAATTAAAAATACTTTATTGCTAAAAAGTACTCACCATCATTTGAGCCTTCAGGGCATCAATCTTTTGGTTGGTGGAGGGTGCTATAAAAAACAATCATCTGGGAAGAGCAATAAAGCGCAACAAAACACGTATGCCTGTACTTCATGGAAGACTTTTCTCATCAAAGAGTCTAAAACATACTATACCTTGAGAAGAACAAGAATTCCCAATGCCCTGCAGAAGTGCCCAGTACTGAAAGAATTTAAATGCTTTTCCTGGCTGGGTAACTTCTTTTTTACAATTACCTTTTTCCTTGCTTGTTGATCTTTGGAAGAATGTGCCTTCACATGCTTTCTCAGGGAACTTGGGTCTGTGTAGCGCTTGGTGCATCCTGGAATTTGACAAGCATAAGGTTTCTAAATGAGAAAGAAAGAGAGAAACAACTGTGGTTAAATCTTAAAGATAACTGGAGAAGGTTTATTCAAAGACCATCACTTCAGAGCATGAGCTGTTACAAACTAACTGATATGAAATGTTGGGTAATACTCAAACATTTTAATTAGTAAGCCCAGTAAGTTTGCATCAAGGCAAAAAGGAGAGTAAATTTTCAAGAAACAAAGAGATGGCCTATCTTTGATGATTTTTAAGAGATTACTATAAAGTGCACTCTTACTGGAAACCTCACGTGGCATTTTTTAACATAGAAATTATTAGTAAGCATCTCCAGTCATACTTACAGTTATGTTCCCCTGAAAACAATCTTTGGTACTGTCAGAAACTAGGAAACACATATTCTTTAAGAGTTCATGTATAAAGAAGCTGTAGAAAAGTCCAGAAAAGACTGGGAATGTTTCAGAAGATACCTGATTCAGAAAGAAAGAGGGAGAGAATGAAAAGGGAAAATTAGTAGAAAGTGAGTAGGAGACAGTAGGTTTCAAACAACAGACACAGGAAAAGTCAGCCAGAGAGACATTAATGTTATTAGTTGTGGAGGAGAAGTTCTAGTGCTAAGCCTGGGTTATATGAATAAACCCCTGGCTGCGCGTGACGAGAACAGCAGTTTTGGCTACTTCAATTCCTCCCATGCTCCTGAGGGATACAATCTGTGCGGCCTAAGGCTGAATCTACACTCTTTTTTACTTTGTACTGTAAAACTACTTCCCCTGTTTGGGTATTAAGATGCATTAAGAAAACTATTCAGGGTTAGAATTACGAACTCAGTAATTGTTATGGGAAAACCATTTTCCTCTAAGTAAAGAATCCATTTAGTTGAAGAAAGGTATTTTACCCAAAATTCCGATGACATTAGCATAAGGAGTACTTATCGAAAGAGAATGAACACCTAAATTTAAATAACAAATTCTTTAAGCAACTACAGTTTGCTCTTTAAAACAAATGTTTGATTTCTATATGATTCTAAAATAGCCTACCAATTTGTTAAACACAATAAAAATTTAAACAGTAGATACTTTGGATCTTAACAATGATGATTTTAGAAGATGTACTAGAGCAGTGATTTTTACAAATAAAAATAGCTGAGTTTTAACAGCTACTGCATTGAACTGAATCATAAAATCATTTTCTTAGGTAGCTTCCTGCAAAAGTTTTAAAAAGGGATATTTTTTAAATTCCAAAATGATTTTAAAATGCTCTTAGTTGATTAGCTAAAATTAGCTCCAAGCAAAGAAGGGTATTGTAGAGCCGTAACACTTAGCCTCACAATAGTTCTTTCAAACTACAGATAACTAGCTAGAGTAGAAGCAATTTCTCAAGACAATCTTGTCTCATGAATGTTCATTCTTCCATGATAAAGTTCAATGATAAATTGGAAAATTTATTGGATTTTACCAAGACCATTTTAGACATACAAAATAGGGCATTTTTAACATAATTTATTCTTTTTTCCTATTTTTACCTTTAAAAGAAACTGCTATTCACCAAATTTATTCATTTAATATTCTATTCTGTCCTAAAATCACTGAATTCGATTCAGCCGGAGCAGGAAGGGCCCGTCTACAGCCATATTGCTCTACTCATCTTTCAGGCATTTACTAGGCAAACCATCCATGTATGTCAGGATATAATTCTGTTTAGAAAAGTTGCATGATATATAGTTAAAATGACTGCTATCAATATGAGTAATAGAGATTAATATAAAATTTAATAAATATGTCAACTATAACATCAGAAGAAAATTAAATATGCATGAGAAGGTGTGGAGAAATAACAGTATCTTTTCAAAATTCAAATTTGATGTAGTTTAATAATAGACATCAGAATGTTAACACTGAAAAAGTACTGTCATGAATACATTATTTCCAAGAATGTGGGAGAAGAGAGCTGTGATGTGTATAATACGCTTATCCTGATGGCTTTCTTAAGTGAGCGAAATTACTGCTACGTATAGTCTACCTGGCCTCATAGAAGGAAAATGGCATCAAAACCTGAGAAATGCAGAGAACAATCAACATAATTGAGAAAATAAAAGAGAGAGTCACAGAAAGGCATTTGCAAATGAACAAAATGTTACAGCTCTAAGAGAGTTAAGGTTTGTGATAATGAAAATCAATTGTTGTCAGAGAATTTATGTCAATGGCTATATGGCTATTAACACAGAGAAAGCCTGATGAAACTGACCCGTGGGGAAAGAGTTGCTGATTTTTTTTATGTTACTTAAGGGTGAAAACACCAGTTGGTTTCTAAAGCAAAAGGTCAGGTTTACTTTCAAAAATCATGCCAGCCTCCCTCTACACTTTTATGTCCAGAAGAAAAGAATCAGAGTAAAAAATCAAAACAAAACAAAAGTAGGTTTATAGTTATTCACTTAGAAAATAATATAATAATTGATAAATAATAATATAAGAATAAGCTCTGTTTTGCTTACTCACAAAGGTAAACCTCCTTTTGCCCCATCCTGTATATTGTGTACCCCAGTATATCTGGATATTTGAATACTTATTTTAATGCCCAGTCTGTACTGGTCATTCTCTGAACTGAACTATCCTATAGCACAGTCCATAAACTGCCTCTGCTTGGTACACAGCTGTTACCAAAGAACCCCTTTGTCCCAGTCAGCTGTAATATTTAAGATACTCAAGACTACAGAAAAATGAGGAGAGAGTCAAACAGGGCCCCTCTGGCCCTTTACCAGGTTCCGTTGCTGCCCTTGGCATTGATTGCCCCTACAACCTGCAGACCATAAAGCAAACACCTTCACCATCCCACTACCAGAAGGGCACTTCCTCACACCGGGGCTTCAGGCTGAAAGTTGGAAAGCCCCTGCCATTCTTACAGTGTCCAAATGCGTCCTCTGGTGTTTGGCGCGGTCACTGGAGTTACTGAACGCCTTCTGACAGCCTGGGTGCTGGCACAAATATGGCTTCTCGCCAGTGTGACTCCGCAAGTGAATCTTGAGATTTTCTAGCCTTGAAAATGCCTTCTTGCAACCTTCAAACTGCAAAAAAAAAAAAAAAAAATACAAAAGAAAACAATTTTGGGTTATTGAGAAGGACCTTAATGCTTGCATTTAAGGGATAGAAAAAAATGGTCTTCATTTACATTTAGTCTAAAACAAAAAATGAAAATCCAAACAGTAGGAAATATTACTTCTAAATATATCGATATATTTATGTGAATTGCATTTTTCCATTGAATATACATGCAACTTTCTGCACCAGATTTGGGTCCCAAACTGATTCCTGTGATTACTTATGTCAGAGCAAATTCACTGTGAGCCATCTGGCTCAGTTAATAAAAATACAGTAATGCGTGTCTTAAAGATTTATTAAAAAATTAACACACTTTTCCATTTCCAAATTGGTTTACACTGAAGGAACCAAGAAGGAAGAAACTTTTACAACTAATAAACTAACAAGAAAAATCAGAGTGATGCATGAGAAAAAAAGTGAATCGAAGATTCAAGAGTTCAAGAAGAAAAAGGTATGTGTCACTGAATTATTATGATCTTAACATGCTTAACTTTATTTTAAGGGGCTTTCCAACTCACAGAAGGTCAAACTTGTCCAGGGTGATGCCAAGTCTAATGAGACAAAGTTTTTAAACATTCTTTCAAAAAGGTACTGAAGGACAAATCATTTAATGCTAAATCATTTTCCAAATAAAGTGATGGTGTTATTTATTTATATATCTTAAAAGAAATTTGGTTACCTCATTCAAGAAGAATTGAAAACTAAAGACTGACAATTTCAAAAAGTACTTCATCAGTTTATCAGTAACATTTATTGATAGTAATTTTTACATAATGACTTCTGTGGGCAAAATATCAGCTGGTCAAAGTGATTCGAATTCTCAAAATGATAATCTAATAAAGGGAATGTGTTCGAGAAAGACTATAAATGGAGCATAAATGTGAGATGGCATTTATCCTCTAACTCCCTCATTGGCACTGAGCCCCAGAATATTTGTCACTTTGACAGTTTTAATACCATTGAGTTCTCAATGAAAAAGAAACTTATGAATATGGAAAAAAACAACCAGAACAAAGCATAGTATGTTTAAAGCAATGAAGAAAGCTCACTTTTTAGAAAGGAATGTGTGTGAGCAGAAGGGAGTAGATAGGACAGAATCTAAACAAAGCAGGTAAGTACAAGATGGTTTCCATTCAAAATGAGCAGGTATAACCTAACCTTACTTCAAGAGTTTTCGTAAGACTCCTTGGTTCTCTTGCTTATAATAATAGATGGTGGAGTCCATTGCTCATGAAAAGATGGATGATCCAGAGCTGGCCAGGTTTCAGTCACTCAGATTTCCATGGTTAAGTAAAGGATGAACGAATGAGAAGGAGGAGCCAAACCTACCAGAATGCCATCTATTTAAGTTGTCTACATTTTGCATGCTGAAGTATTTTAAGAAATTTATGAAAGTTGTACTTATTTTTGATTGAGAGTTATACATGTTTCCCAGACATATGTTGGTTTATTTCAATTTTGATATTTTGCTTAAAATAATTTGGTGTTTTCCTGATTTCTATTTCACACACACAAAAAAATTTAGCCTGAACAGAAGATGATTGCTGATGAAGCCAACTACTTTTTCATCAGAGTGAAAGAAATAATGCTATGTTGCTGGAGGGAAAGAGGAATTAAGTGGCTTATTTCCACAGATTTTCAAATGGGTCCCAAATTTGAGAATAAAGGGGCTCAAAGTTAACCCCCAATTCATAGCTAAGAGGCCTCTGCTGACCAAATCTCTGTTTTTAAGGTTCTTTTTGAATGATGACTTAGAGCAAGCTTCTGGAGCTCAGATTATTTTACTTGGAATCACTTGGTGGACCACACTTAGGTCTAAAATGAGCCTGTGGTTTCAAACACATCAAGTCTGTAGCCTATTTCATAGAAAAGCTCTTTTGCAGGGTGGACACCATTCTGGGGCCAGTTCCAAGGGTGAATACCCAAGGCCTGGGTACGCCCCAGCATTCACTCCCTTCTACAGTCCTCACATCTTGGTAAGAGAGAAGGCTGCATTGTTTCGGCACTAGCATGGGGGTGGAGAGCTACTTGAGAATAGATTCATGAGGTTTCTGTGAGTATTGGACTAATAGGACCCCATACAGTGATTAGAGGGAATTCAGACATGTCCTAGAGCTAATTCAAACTGTCCACTGGATCAGACACAAACTGGATATAGACTAGTGTCTCTCTAGTTAAATGTGTAAGTAAATGTCCAGTTAAATGTGGAATTAAAAGTCAACTATTGCCATTATTGCTGCTAATAAAAGCAATGATCAAAGATCAAGGGGGTTTGCTACATCCCAAGCAAGTCAGTGAAAAGTGAACTACATCTCAGAATAACCTGACCACTTTTAAACAGCAAAGGTAGAGGAAAGTATGAGCACTCACACTGACAATGACAAGAAAGATTATCTATAAATCATGAAAATCCAGCTGATTTCAGATGTTTCCCCTGTAACAAGAAAGGCCAGAAGACAACATAATCTGTATTACTTGTACTAGCATAAAAGTATTTTCAAGGGAAAAGATTAAGAGTGAAGGGGTTGTACAAATAAAGGCAGAAGAAAGGCTAAATATCATGCACTCAGTGGCTCAGCATACACTTCATGCTCGCTCTTATTTAAGAAGTTCACTTGAAATAACCATGAACTCAAGACCAGTAAAATCAGGCACTGAAGAAGTGACAAATGGCTGACTGGGGAGACCTCACACCCAACCTCTCAGGTGTGTGTGGGCAGCACCTCTGACTGAACTTGCCACACTGGCAGTTCTGCGAGAGGAAGGAGGTGCTGTTCACCTCTCTAACGGTGTCTGGATGAAACCTGAAAGCAAACAATTTTGTAATGAATCATTGCCTTTCATTATGGGAATAACCCTCTAATTCAACACAAGATTTTCCTCTCCCTCAGGCAATTTTACCCCTCGAGTTATAAGTTCAATTAAATGCAAATTAATTAAAAATAAACTAATATTTAGGTAGAACTACAAAAGATTGTTACAAAATACCAAAACTGAATGCTTTGGATATTTGGGAAAATGAATACCTCTTTTCCTTAATACTATATTGTTTTACATTTTCCAAATCTTTAATGAACATCTAAACCTAGGGAAGCGAGGATGTGTATTTCCTTGATTCCAACAAATGTTTTTTCATTGAGTTCCTAAAGTGCAAGGTCCGTCCTGAGATTTAGGGTTCAAATTGTCACCTGACTGCTCATGTCACTGCTACCAATCAACCCTGCCACAAAAACATTGACCAGTATCCTAGTTTTCGGCCCTCTCCTACCTGGACTGGCTATGGCACCAGGCACCCAGGCCCCAGTGACACACAATGAGATTAACAGGCCTGAGGTTGCCTGCAGTTCAAACACAGGCCCTAAATGAGGAAACAACAGAAAAACGACAAACTCTCAGGATCCAACAAGAGAGCAGAAGGAGGAGAAACAGAACACAGAAGAGAAACAAATGTGGGGTGGTGACGTGGGAGGGGAGTGATGGTGGGAAAGGGGTCCGAGGTACGTCAGTAATTTCATCTAAATAGCTTTCCACCCCCCACCCCCAACAAACACTGAGTAGGTCCTATGAATATGGTACCAGGTGTTCGGCACTGAGAAGAAAAAGATGAATAAAACGCAAACTTCACCTATGGGAAGATGAAAGCAAAGTCAGTGTGGGCAGAACCAAAGCCTCGGCAGGTCATAAGCTGATGAACCTTGAGCAGTGATTCTCAAAGATGTGGCACCCAGACCGGTGTCATCAACATGCCCTGGGATCTGATCAGAAATACCAATTCTCTGGCCCACCCCAGACTTACAGAACAAAACCCTGGGGCTAGGGACCCCACATCTGAGAGTCTACAAGCCCTACAGAAGATTCTGATGCTACAGTGTGCTGGTGACTTCAGGAATGCCATTTATTGTAATCTTTGTTGATTTTCTTAAGAAAATGTCCTGACAGAAGCGAAGTGTCTCTCAGAATTGACCCATTTTTAATTGGGATGAGAGTCACGTGGACTAGCAGCAGGCCTAGACTGGAAAGGAACATCTCCGGTCTGGGGCACAGCAAGGCTGTCTCTACCTGTACAAGCCTCTCTGGATGCCCATCACATACCGGCTATTCTTTACCTCCCCATGATTTACTCTGCTGCCAGGCGCATTGACCACAAGCTCCCTCCGTGGCCTCCTGAGCAACAAAACATCCCCCATTTCTAGTGCCCATTACATTCCCTTTTTGAGAAAAAGCACTGGAGAGGAGACGTAATTTTCCATTTGCACATTTCAGTGGCTTTACAGACACAGAAGAACAAAACATGAAACTGTAAGTAAAAGGACGTTAAATCTCATGGGTTTTGAAAATACTGCATGGCCCTACTCTGAGAAATCTCTCTTTGACTCTGTGGCTATGTTCAAGTAACCAACTTTAATTAAAAAGTATAAGTTGTCTCAAACCCAGAGAACCCTAGCTTGCATCACTTTGCTAATTTAGGAGATTATTTCATGTTTAAAGGCTCACAACTGAACTGTAATCACCGTCTATATATATTGGCTTGATTACAGATTGTTGACATTAAGTGGCATTAACATGACCTTTGAAATATTACCTTCCCTTTCTATTAGAAGCTTTTGTGTAAGGTTCTGAAAATGAAAGGCTCATTAGACACCATTAAAATAGGATTTATTCCATATGTGTAACCAATAATCAAGTAGAATATTACTCCCTCCCCTAATCAGCTACTTAAGAGTGCTGAGAAGCACAAATTCATATTCAAGGTGGTAATAACAGCAAACCTTCCCTGCTCAGGTTTCTGTATCATCACTAAAGTCAACAAAACCTGAACAGAAAGGAGTCTATGATGCTGGACATGCTTTTTAAAAATATACATTTGATTTCAATTAAGGCTCAGTGTTTACGACCCTTGGAAGTATACGCTTTTACAATTTCATCAGTCAAGACCAATTAATCCCATTAGTGATGGCTGATGCTG